TTATAAATATACCGCAAATGGGTTGCCTAAGAAAATACGGTCCAGACAATTTTTTTCTTAAAGTAAAAAAAACGACACCCTGTAAAGTATTCCCCAGATGCTTCAACTATGCCCAAACTTTAATCAGCTCACCGCAGGATGGATTAAAGCTTAAGTTAAAAATTTGGTGTTTTTCTCTTCATCCGTTTCTGAGTTGTCTTCAAAATTCGAAATTTACACTTTTTCTCAAATATCTCGAATTAGGTTCATTTTAGGAAAATCATGTATAGGAACAAAATAATAGATAATGACATCATAAACAACTTTTATCATGATTTTTATACTTTCTTTATCTGTACACAGAAAGGATAGTAAAAAATGGCCGTGACCACATTTTTTTAGGCAACCCATTTGCGGTATATTTAAATACATATTTTATTTAATAAAAAATAAGTTTTATCCATTAAACAGATGGGTGAAGGTCGACCCTACTTACGGATCCTGGACTACCATACAGCTTCGATCTGCTACAAACAAGTAAGAACTTTCCTTTTATTCTTCTAAAGCTGATAAGCTGAGCTGGAACCTCAGCCTATTATTCCCGGCTTGGACAATATCGATATTATTTGTAGTGACTAAATACCTAAAAGAAAGGACATTAATAGTAAACGAATATATTTAGATATATTACCCTTAATAATAGTATCTACCTTTTATTTGATATACTTACATTCACCTCTCTGTAAACAATTAGTACTAATCGGATATCGCAGGACAACTTGATAGATTTAGCCCCTTTTTATTATTATTGCTCATATTACAAAACTGGAAACTAACCTGCACTGAAATGAAATTGTATGGGTAATATAAGTGTCGTTTAAATCATATAACCCTCACCCACTCTCCGGTAGTTCCTAAAACTACTTGAGCTATTTATCTTTTGTATTTAAGCAAACTGGTAATTTCATTATTAATAAGAACCCCCTGATAAAGGGGTGGTAGCAAGATAGAATAGTTCAGAAATGTCTGGACATTCCTTGTCAAGAAAAATCTAAACAGTTCGAGAAGGTTCTAGAAGCTATATAAGTTGATGATCCTGACGTTAGAGTTTCAGTTTTATGATGTTTTACGTTAATGTTATCAGTTGTATAGTCTGTATTTTAAACAGTTTTGAAATCATTACTAACCTACCTAAATTATGATAATTTTATTTGGGTTTGCATCATTCACAAAACTAAATCACTTTCTTAATATTTTACCATTTAAAAAAATACCTTTTTATTTACCAATCAAAAATGTAACTCCCTGTGTATCCAAAAGTATGCCTTTTTAAAATCACATACCATATTTTGTTTATAAATATAATAACATTTTTCAAAATACAGCGATACCACTAAAGTATCGATACCGGTATCGAAAAGAGTATCGGAACCAAAGTATCAATACCGGATAGTTATTAAAAAAAAGGTCATTGAGTAAGTGATCCTACACTACACTTTTTGTATGAATTTTAATGTCAAAACTAGTAAAGTATCGAAACGGGAGTAGTTCCGACATGGGTATAGTAAATTACCTGGTATCAAAAGAAAAGTATCGATAGTACCATAGTACGATAGTATCATATTAGTAGTATCGCAACATCACTAAGAGTGAGGCGGGAACAACGGCACAAACTTCAGGGGGTCGATTCTCGACTTGTAGAGGAATATTTTCCTATAGGAATTTTTGACATTATTATGTACATCGAAAATTTATGACATTTTCCTACATATAGGAAAGTGTCACAAATTCCTATAGGAAAAGGTTCCTACAAGTCGAGAATCGACCCCCTGGAGTGTATTATAAGCTCTGGTATTAGGCATTCCAAACTGAATGGCTACCAGTGGGTTTTGACGGGTTATGATATGGCAAAATTATGGCAACCCTGTAGGCCTGGTGATTTGACAAGGTCAATGAAATAGAGTTACATATATTGATTATCCATATTTTTCAAAATAGACATAAGCGTATGCCTTGAAGTAAAAATGTAAGCAATTATCTTTTTTAAAATATCTAAAGGCTAAAAATTGGTTTTGAAACACATTTTTGCTAAACCGATTCAAATTAATAAATATTTGCCAGGCAATATGGCCGCTCGTGAACGACCAGCTTTGAGCAATCTATATAACTATATATGTATCATTGACCCTGTTAATGACAACATGACAACAGGGTTGCCATATCTAAACTGTCATTACCCACTGGTAGCCATTTGGACAGGTCGTTGGAATGCCTAATTATACGAGTACGCGTGAATATAGTGTTAAACAACTCATGTCTTCTTATCCGATTTTCATTTGTTTTCAAGTTATAGCTTAATTAAAAATGTTTATTTAGCGTTCTACTTAAGTATATCCAAATTTTTGCTTGTTTTCACGTAAGGGACGATCGAAAAATCCGTTATAACGTTGTTGTTTTAACAAGGTATCAGTGAACGGGAACGTTTATTGAAATTTGTTTTTACTAGAGGCGCTTATGTTCCAGTAACCAAAAATCTTAACCACAAACTATGTCATTATGTTTTACGCAGGTCTCCTGATAGTACGCTAAACATAAAATTACTTTCATATCCAAAAGTGTAGAGCGTGCTTAACATTTCAACTGTCACACTTAGGGCCGATCTTTTCACCTCTGAGTAAAGCAAAGTTCCTTTATTTACCTTTAAAACCCGGACATACACTGCAAAGAAACGTAGCGCGTAGCTATTTCGTAAAAGAACAGACATGCGTTGTCTGGTGCGCTGTTGCCAGGCTGTGTAGTTTATTCCTTTCATATTTACAAATAGTTTTTACCTATAACTCACTAATATTAACAAGTTTTATTTATTAGAATAGTTTCGAGATATATTGCGACATATCAAGCGTCCCCACTAATTCATTTGTGTACCTATTGCAGTGTTTCCAACTCCGGGAATTGTGGGTAGAGTTGTTATAATATTTCCCGAAACATTTATAATAGTAAGTCTCTAATTATTAAAATGACTTGTAATAGATTAAGCTATTTTAACTGCTTTCAGCAGGCTTTATATTTTAGCAGCACCTATTTTTACACCATTATGCAGGGCATTTTTGTACCTATAATTTTTACAGGCATACGCCTGCTAAATAACAACTTTTCAAATACTAAGATAAACTGTGGAAAACACCATTATTATTCCTGCAAATAAATGCAAGGATTTTAAAAGGGTTAAACGTGACACCACCGCAATTTAAAATAATCTTGTTTCATTCATGACTATATGTCACGTATAGTATTTTATCTATCGATAGTTTGCGACGTTGCGATCCAGTAAATTGTTGCATATCGGGTATTTCTGTTAATCTTTAGACTTTTTTGGAAAAATTTCGGCTTGTGTATAGCTAACAACATGGTTCGCGAGTGCATTTTCTGCAAAAAACTGGAAAATGAGGGTGCTAAAGTATCTTTTCATAAGTAAGGTTAGGTGATGATATATTCCATAGTTCAGTGGTGTAGATTTAAAGATTTTTTCCCTAATATCACATGTATTATCTACTTTTGTTTTACTATTATTTATTTTCTTTGATCTTTCAACATTATTAATTTCGCAAACCATTGTACTTAATGGAAACACTTAAGTCTGAACTATTAGTAGTAAAATAAATATGCTTATGCTTGATCTAAAAGGCATACAAGAAATATTTGGCTTTCACTTGTAGGTATCCGAAAAAGAGTGTTATGCTCGGAGCCTTAGAATCTAACATATTAAACTTTTTTGGAGATCACATTTTTAATGACGATATTTTTTAAAATCACGCAATAGATTTGATAAAGCTGATAATAAAACATTATTTTAATATTCGCATTCATTATGAGACCACAAAAAAGTTGGATATGTTAAGAAAAAATAGAGTAAAGAGTATAAACACAAAAGTGATATTGTTCAGAAACGAATAAAATTTCTAAAAGTTCTACGTGTTTTCGAATTTTACAAAATTCTTATCGCTAGATCCGCTATAAGAAGCGTTCTATTTAAAATCCCTACCTTGTATATAAATATGGTAAATTTATTGATTTAATAAATTTTATAAATTTATTAGTGTTAAAAATCTGAATTGATTTAAAAATATCTCATTTACCAATTTATAAAACTGTTCAAATTTTAACCCCAAAATTGGATTCGTAAATTTGTTTTAAATAAATCTTGATTTACTTATCTTGTTTTTATTTTATTTAACATCTTTATATGTAATAAAAATTGTATTATTGTATAGTGTTTCACCTAGAATTCACTCAACTTCATACCCTTATTCCAAATCCAATCGGTTTTAAAGTTTAAACCATTATAAAGTTTATTGCACACCATATAGGTTAGTATTTCATTATTTTTTTATAATTAGTTATGATTTTATCTTTAATAAGATACGCCACTGGTATGTGCAGACTTTTAGTTGCGTGTAACAGCAGCATTACCAGACGAGATCTGTCTTCTTTCAATCCGCATAAAATATCTTTTTTCTCTTTTCCAATGATATTGGGATCAAACAAAACATACTTTATGAATGAAATGCATCATCTATTGTTTCTTTTATCTAAGGAGTAAAGTTACATGTAGGTTTACTTGACAGATTAACATACAATAGCCCTATAGATTAATTAGCAAGTAGTTACTTTCAACTTTACTCAGAGGTGAAAAGACTGACCTGTAATATGGTGTTTGTATTGCCACCTACGAAAGCTTTTGCTAAACCATCTTTTGATTGAACAGTTTATTGTCTAATTTGTACGACTAAAGTGTTACAAAATGCTAATTACTTAATTCAGATTTAGAATTTTATGGTTTTTGTAATGAGAATGTTAGAGCTGCTGTTGAAGAATATCTTTAACCGTTTCCACATCAGAGACAACATATAAAAGTATGAATTTTTTAAATTTGTTATTATGTTATAACTTGGAAACCAATGACTCAAGTTTGTGCCATTTCTCCCGACTCTGTATTAAATATTATTTTAATTTATTTTTAGAGTATGTGACCTATTGGAAGGAAAGGGAGCTGGAAAAGGAAATACATTCAGAGCGAAAGTATCAAAAATGGCAAAGCGTAAAGACGTTGAAAAGTTAATTATTGAATATTTTAATAACCATTAAAATATTATTGTTGCAGTGTTACTTTATTGCAAAATAAAAACTAAAAGTTGTGAAGAAAATGTATATTTTATTTGTTTTTTGTTAACTTTTTCTACGATCACTACACAAATTGTTTTTTAAACGTAGTAGGCATTTCTGTACACATCCATAAAGAATAATATTCCACAAGCTCATCACCATGTCAACTTGCCTATCTACCGTCTGGTCCTTGTATTAAAAAATCTACACTTGTGGAAAGTAAATTTGCCCAACAATCACGTTCACAGTCTATCATTGAGGGAGTAATAAATTTATCAAATATTATGAACTTCGTTGCCTTTGTGCTGTAATAACTATTTTCAATAATCTCTGCTATCTTACTAAATGTTTGAGGAATCTCCCTAAGCTGGTGTAATAAAAGAAAACCATCAATTAGGGTACAATCTATTTTATCGGGAGGGTTTGATGTTACCTTTCCGTCTCGTTTCCTAAATAAGGCCCACTTTTCTGTTTTATGCATATTTCCATCAATATGGCACAGAGATAGAGGCACTGGTGTGAGAGGATAAGACAAAGTACTCCTAAGGACAATTTTATTTTCTATAGACAGAATTAGTAATCTGCCAATAAGGTCACGTTCAAATTTAATTTCTGATATCTTACCATCGCTTTTTTTTACTCTTGCAGACATGTTCAGTTGCAAAAGTTGATACTTTCTGTTTTCTTAATAGTGTCTTCAAAACGCTTAGTTTTACATTCGGTAATTAATATGTTACGTAGGTTCTCTCCTATGGTTGTTATATTTAAGAGAAACTATTTCGCTTTCTTTAAAGCTGATTTGCCGGTAGTTATGTTATAAAGGTTTTCTTTAACCATAGAATTTTCAAAAGAATTTTCGAGTGTGTTCGTAATATAGCTTAATGCCCATCTTTTTCCGGCTCTAATAGAATTCGCGAAACTTGAAATTCCTGTTAGTTTGTTAGCTGCATCGGCATGCTGAATCGACATTTATTGTCTGTTCAAGTGTTCTTGCAAAATTTTTATTAGTGCGTCTTACAGATATACCACCATTGATTAATTTTTCTTTAAGTCCAGGATGGTTGCTATCGATATTTATTATATTGTAGTATTTAAGTATCCGCCGTAAATAGTTGTGATGATTCATGATAAACATAAGATTAGCAATTTTGGGCAAGCACGTTACAAAAAGGTCAAAATTGTTTGTTCTTATACTTCTAGAAAATGCTAGGTATAATTTAACATAATATAGGTCATCTAAAACTGGGCTGTAGCACCATGTTGACCTTGTACCGTTAGGTGACAATAAGTTTCATATTCATCCAGCAGGTTCTGTAGGGCAATTGACAATGTTGATTCATTGAATTTCTTATCTTGAATAGAGTCTAAATCAGATATAATAATACTTTGTATGTCTCTCTGAGCGATTTACATGTACTATCGAAAATGTAATATTTGTGATGCTGTGGCAAAGATAGGATGAATTCGTTAGCACCTGTTATAATTAGTTCCATTTATAAACCCATTTAACGGCCCGCTAGCCAAAATTAACACTTCTATCAGAATATGTGGTCTCCAGACTCTTCAATATATTTTCCGAATGCCTTAAAAAAGGAGAGCTCTATATGGAATACTCGTAGGTGAATAAAAATATTGTTACGCAGGTTTCTGGTTTCACAATTTATTTCAACTGAACTTTAACAATAACAATGCAAATGATAACATTAACGTGTAACGTCTATCATAAAACTGAACTCTGACGTCAGGTCGTCGACTTACATAGCTTGCCTCGACCTTCTAGAACCTTCTCGAACAATCCGGACCTTTCTTTGACATTTCGAGAGATTTCTGGACTATTCGATCTTCTTAATTTACTCGTACCTTTACGTATGACGACCGCAGCACGCTACAGGGTGCTGCGTAACATTGCTTCCTCTTCTCTAGTTATTCGCCCCGAATAACTTGATTACTGGGACCTGGCTGTTGCCAATGGGGAGGATCTGGGAGGCTGTTGGCTTTTAGTCGTTCCCGAGCGAATCCGTAAACCTTTGTCCTGCCATTGCATACACCAATCCGATATATCCCGTCGCAAGTAACCCAATAAAATCTTTCCCGAACTCGTGTCAGTGTTCTTTTAGTACCAAAATGTCCTCCCGAACGGCTACAATGAAGCTCCGCCTTAATTCTGACATGTGATTTCGGCAGTTCTACTTGGCGGACTACATGTACTCCATCAGGGCTTTCCCACTTCCGGTGCAATAGGCCATCGTGAAGATACAGGGAATCCAACTGAGTCCAGTACCCTTTAATAGCTCCACTATATTTGGCTATCTCTTGCCAAGTAGGTGTAACTTTATTTTTGAGCCATTCTCGAACAACTTTCAAATCAGTGTCTTTCAAATGCCCCTTTCTCAGGCTTTCAAGGGTGCTTTCTTCTTCGTCGCCCTCTGGTTTGATAGTGGTTGCCCGAAGGGTAACTTTATCAACTGGTTCCTCCCGTTCTCCGAGCCCCTTACTGTACCGGCATTCTCGTTCTAAACAGGAGAGAAAGTCTGCGTTGCTATAGAGACGGTCTCTACGATGCTCTACTTCCTGATTGTTGCTAGAAAACCGGCTCGATGTGGGTGATTGGCTTCTTCGGGACGCATAGCTGCTGTGACTATTTCTTGTTGGACTTCGTGACGGGCTTTGAAAGATTGATCTATGTGACTCTCCTTCCTCATTCCCTGATTCTCTATTTATAGAAAGAGCTCTGCTTCTACAGGTTCTTTGAAGGTGACCGATTCTTCCGCAATTGAAGCATCTTCTGTTCTCATTTTGGCTATTTCGTTGCATATTTTGCAGGATATTTAAAGTTTGCGAGAGGGTTGGTTGGGGAATAGCATTAGTATTGGCCTCCTCACCTTCCTGGGATTTAATTTCTCTCACTTTTGCGCGAGAAGATCTGGATATGAGTTTTACAGCTTCATATTTCTGAGCTGCAATCAGTTTTTCCCTCAGCGTCTTGTGATGTTGTAGACGAAGGGTTTGCTGCATTTCCACATCTTGTAGTCCATCAATGAATGCATGTACTCCGATTTGTTCTTGGAAATCTTTCGGCGTCTGTGGATAGGCCAGATGAATCAACCTTCTTATGTCGGCCTCGAATTCTTGTAGACTCTCATTATGATTCTGACTACGAACCTTTAGTTGGCTTTGTAATACCTGTTGTAAATGCTCCTGGCCATATCTTATCTCCAAAGCTTGGACGAGAGATAAATAACTGGGTTCTTCTTGTGGAAGTAACTGTAAAACGGTTGCTGCCTGTCTTCGCAGCGACACTATCAATGAAGCCGCCATCTCTTTCTCGGTCTAGTTATTGGCTCTAGCTGCAGCTTCAAATTGGAGTCGATACGTTTCCCATGTTGTCTGACCGTCAAACGTGGGTGGCTTAATGATCTTGCTAGTATGGCTTTGGGAAACTGGGTTTTGGATGTGGCTTGGTTCGGTTATAGCTGAGGACGAGGTAGTGTTGATAGTTTCTCTGTTGCTAGCCAAAGTTAGGCTACGAATTCTTCTTTCTAATTTAACTAGTTCAGTTCTAATTTGCTTTTCTAACTCTACTCTTATCTTTTCCTGTTGTTTTTCTAAATTGGTTTTTAAATGCTGTTGCTGCTGATCTAATTGAGTTAGATGCTCTTGCTTTTGTTCTACATTAGTTTTTAAAATATCTTGTTGTGCCAAAAGATCTACTCTATTGTTAAGCCGACCAATCTCTTGCTTGAAGGTTTCCTGGATTTGTAGCAAACCATTCATAATTACAATCGCTTATTTTCTACGCCTCTCCTCCTCGTCTTCTTCTCCCTTCCTACGCCTTTCCTTTTCCTCCTCTTCTTTCGTCCTACGCCTTTCCTTTTCCTCCTCTTCTTCCTTCTTACGCATTTTTTTGTCTCCTATTCTTCATTCCTACGCCTTTCCTTTTCCTCTTCTCGCCTTACTCTCTCCTCTTCTTCCTTCCTACGCCTTTCCTTTTCCTCTTCTCGTCTTACTCTCTCCTACTCCATCTTCAAGAACCATGCTGGTGGGCCTGACGTATCCATTCCTGCTTCGTACTCAGTGGATCTAGTATTTACCATGAACTTTTACTTTGTATCCCACCGCTGTCACCAATGTTACGCAGGTTTTTGGTATCACAATTTATTTCAACTGAACTTTAACAATAACAATGCAACTGATAACATTAACGTGTAACGTCTATCATAAAACTGAACTCTGACGTCAGGTCGTCGACTTATATAGCTTGCCTCAACCTTCTAGAACCTTCTCGAACAATCTGGACTTTTCTTTGACAAGGAATAACATTTCGAGAGATTTCTGGACTATTCTATCTTCTTTATTTATTCGTACCTTTACTTATGACGATCGCAGCACGCTACAGGGTGCTGCGTAACAATATCATATGTGGGTGATTCAGAATTTTGTATTTGATATTCTAATTTGGCTATCGCTAAATCATAAGAAACTGAAATATTCAGTTCTTTAATTTCAGTGCGAATTTGTAGGTTAGTTCCGTTTCAAGTTCACCAACAACAACAATATGATACACTGTACTTATTTAAAATGTTTATAACCTTTTTACTTCCTGTTAAACTTTTCAAAACTAATCCTAGCCTTAAATGTTTAGGTGGCTTCAGTGGCCCATTAGTTGTACAAAATATTATGTCTTGGCCAATAGAACGTACTTTTTGTTACAACAATGCTAATAGGTTTTCTAAAAAAATTCTAATAACTTCGGAACTTTACATTCTCCACTATAAATATTATATAATGAAATGTTTTGCGGCAAAGATTGTTTCTCTATGTTTAATATATGTCTTCGAAGATAAAAAGCAACATTCGCAAATTTTCTTTTCATTGTATTTCTTTTGAACGGCATATCTGATGTGCGGCTGCACTGTTGGGAATGCAAAAATATTTTTGTTTAAAACTGGATATGCCTAATTTATCTTTACAAAAAACGAGAAGCTTTCTTTTTAAGTGATCTGGTCTAAATGAGATATTTTTTATTAGATCGGTATTA